TCTTTGTCGATTTTTATGGTTACGGTCCTTTCCCCGAGTGAGCCAGGTCACCATCAGAGGCTCTATTTTCAGAAATTCGGGCTTCCTGTTTAACGCTTCTCATAACATCCTGTTATTTTTATCCCGATAACTGAAGATAAATTCAGAAATGTCTGTAAGGTTCATGATTATGAGAGAATGATTAGGATCCGTTATCGTTTTACCAGGTCTTCAGACACGTTCAGAAGTCGCAGTCCCTTTAGCCCAAACACAGTTGGCCCTTATTCACTAACCAGGAAAAGACTATTTATATAACTATTCTCTTCTTCGCTCAATGGATGATAAATGTATCATTAATGGGTAACTTACGGTCAATAACGACGGTAATCGCACTGTTTGTAGGTTTTAAGTGGACATCATTGTAGAGAAACAAATGGTTTACCCTGGAAATAATTGACTACATGCTACCAGTATCAACGGTAAATAAATGTGAATTGCCTGTTCTCAATTAATTTTCGTACTAAATGTTAAATACTGCTGCAGGCGGTAGTGAGCTACGATGAATCCACTCATCTGTCCGAAATTTCTGGTCTTGATCCAACATCATCTAGTGTTTTAGCAATAAACTACTTGGATTTTTTGACAGACGTCGCGTATATGTAAACTTTTAACACCTACAACGTAACGAAATCGATATGAACTAACAACTTGGAGCATTCCACATGAACGACAGAATTTATTACACAAATACGAAAGAATCGCTCTTCAAATAATTTGCTCGTCTTAATTAATCGGAACTGTTATTGTCAGAAGTCTGATGTTTCTGCACTAAGGAAGATTTATGCACAATCGATGATAAAACATCATGTTATTTCTTAAAAGCACCAAAGGGGTCATTAAGAACTTCTTCATTAGCAAAACAAAATTCTTTTAGCCATGTGAAAAGTACAGGAATGATTTTTCAGCCTTTCCTCTAGTTTAGGGTCGGTTATACCAGTAATCAGACAGTCATTACGTTGGATATGCAGCTGTTCACTGAAACTGCACTTGAAACCGCGTGTGAAGCTGAATTATTAGGTCTCTATCAGTCTAGTTCAGAGCACAAACTAATTTATTGAATTGTGCTTTACGTAAAAATGATCTGTAAGTAATATCTTTAGTTTGCTGAACAGGTTTTTCGAGGAGTAAATTTTTTATTAAACTATAGGCTTCTCTATCAATAGCATTAATAGAATGAGTTGAAATGCTATCTCTCCTAAAGATATGTTAAAACCATTGGGCATCGAAACGTTCTAACTAATCTTCTATTTCTGATTTGAAGTGTTAATGCTAAATTTCACCGATTTTCCCTAGTCCATTTGTAACGACACACCAGATGTTTATTCAACATAGTGTTGAAGGATGATACAGGTATTCAGTGTTTGACAACGCTTCTACCAATAACACCTTCTAATATGCTTTGTTCCCACCGAGAGAAATCAAAAGACAGAGTCGAGGAGATCGGAAGAGTGTATTTGGCAATAACCAATATATCGGGAATCTCTGATCTAATCTGGCTAGTGATTGCGATTGTTGTTGAGCACAGCGTGACAGCACGTGATCTGGTGCGGATGCATGACCGAGCGCCTTCAGCTAGATGAGTCCACTAAAACATATGGTCAGCATCCAATGTCGAAAACCTATTGAGCTATTTAGTTTGGGGATTTATTTACCGCTACAGTGTAAAGAAATAATGCTGATGGCAATAAGTCTCAAACTTTAACACGTCAGAAGCATGAAGTCACATTCGAGATATGCAGTTTGAAATTGTATTATATTGTTGTGAAAAGTTTCAACTCAACATAAATTGTTCACTTGTACAGTATATATATAGATCATCCTCTGAAGTTAGTTTCGCACCATGAGTGTAACGACAGAAATGCCAATATTTGGTTTGAACCTAGAATCAAGGAACCAAAGTGTACTCGATTAGACCAAAGTTCGTTCTTATGTTTACCGTACAAATCCTTTCGAGTGACTCGTATTTATTTATATCAGAGCACACATTGTGTTCAATTAAAACCGTTCTATTTTAATAAAGTGAATAAGTTACATCAAAAGTGCAAAATACCTCAGACAGCACGGACTGTGTTATACAATCGATGGTTTCTCTAACATAAACTAACGCGTTAATAAGCAAGAGTTCTATACCTGAGAATATATAAGAGTATTTACAACAGGATGGCATCAGGTATACTTCTTCGAAGACTCCGGCAACCTTTCTAAGCATACAGTCAAAGGCTAACAATAATATACTGGACCACGCCGTGACCTTGAGTTTGATCAATTACAACCTTATTAGCAGTGGTCCGGCGTCATTTAACAGCAAAATTAAGTGACAAAGGGTAAGTCTTTAACCAAAACCACGTAATAAAAGCTCAGAATGAGAAGACGGATCATAAAGTAAGGTTAAAAAAAGACCTGAATAAAGATTTCAATACGAAACGATAATGTCCAACGAAGTATTGTGGAGAGATATTCAACGTTTTCTTTTTGTTACCCAGATGTTGTAATCTGTTCAACATTGACAGTCCATAAAAACTGTGACTTTGACAAAATCCTATTCCATTGATCATATCAACGAAAGTAGTTTTATGATGAAGTTAGTCCGAATTCAACCGAATTGTTTTCCACTAAGTACGTTAGGAGGTGTTGATTTATACTAAAACGAGGCTATTTCAGTCGAAATCACATCGACTGAAATATAGTGACTGTTTATGGGAACTAGAACTTTGTCGAACAGGGGTTACTAGATTACAGAATGCTAAAAAACATAGTTTACTAGATATTTTTGTAAAGCATAAGTTTGGATTCTCATTTTATTTTGCTGTTCATCTAAGTGGCTAGTTTGGCTTCACATATGTACGACATGAGATAATATTTTTAAAAATATTCACGATTCATTTATCTATATTGTAAAATAAACATTTAGCGGTTGTTGTTCAGGTATCCAATACTTTGAAAACTGCAAGAGAATCTAGTTAATCAACAGGCATCCAAACAACATTCAATGAAATCAAGATTATTGCATAATCCTTGAACAATGCACGAAAGCTATGAGTTTATAGGTGCATTATTTACTCAGGGATTCACCGTGATCCTAATAATTAACAACAGAATGCACTCTCCCCAGAATTTGGGAGAGTATATAAGAAAGACTCAATCTACTGTAGACCGAATGCATTACTTCAAATACTGTAAAAGATAACGAAGGAGCGGTTAACAAACGAATGAGGAAAAATATGTGCAGAAACAATGCACTTAAGGAGAATCAACAGGTGTCCAAACAGGAGTATTGTTTAAATTGGATACGAGGTTCCTACCTAATTATTCATTCATAGTTAGTGTAAAGAAAACCCTCTTCTGTCAGTTCTTAAAAATCCGTAGACTTACAAATGATCACCTTTTTAAATAACTAACCAAATCATGAAACATTGGGTACGAAAAGTAGCGACTTCGCATAAATAAAATGCTTAACGTAGGTCAGGGCATTTTCACTAATGCATCAGTTGCGCAATAAGTTAAATCTGCACAAATATGCTGAGCTCCTGGGACGTTGGGAGATAATTATTATAGTCACTGAGGAGACATCAGCTGGTGTTTTGGGAGAAACACGTAAGAGGAGATATTGCTTGCAATCTTCTGTTCACCCTAGCTGTTTTACCTGACTATGAATTTAAGCTATTGACAATACGGTGCCTGATTCATGTCTCGTAACTAACCTTGTGTTGCAAATATCATAGATCATTAACTTATTTCAGTCTTTCTTATTTCTACATTTCCATCTCCTCACTCTGTTTACATTACTCATTAGCGAATCAATTTTTTCGCCTCTTTGAACAATCGTCTTTTCTTTTAAATAGATAAAAGAACATTGATTATCCACCCATCGGTAATTTATCCACTGTCATCACTACCAGATACCAGCGACTTATTCGTATCTCGCTTATTGTGGTCGTCGTTTTTCATCCTATTTCTACACTACTAGATTATCACACTATCTTGACTACTAGTCAATACACGTACTTATTTATTTACTCACCTCTTAAAACAATCGTCTTCTCTAGGTCATCGGATTTTCTTTTTATTACTTTCATACTCCAGACACCGACCTCCTACCTGGTGATATAACAGTTTCTGGTATCCAGAAATCAGTAAGGCAACCATCAAACATCCCGTCAGGGAAACCCTGGTGTCTTTTGACGTTTGTGTTCAACTCACAGTAAAGAACACGGGGTGTAGAAACATAAAACCCGAAGCAGCCAGATCTCAAGGGACTGACCTACTCGCTCTAAACAACAATCTGCTTAAAAGCCAGAGGACAGATGCTGCTATAGACGGACGTCGAGTCACAGGCAAAACCATCATGTTCTTTTACAGCAACGCAAGAAGACTAAAACGTATGCTAGAAAAAAAATCAGAAACATGTGCTTTTATTTAGGTGTGAAAATCTTAGTCCTTACTGAAACATGGCTATCTTCCGACATCCTTATTGAAGAAGTGGCTTTACAAGGCATGATATATTACAGATAAGCTAAGTTCAAAAAATAGGAGGCGAGGTGATAATATACATTAAAGGTCAGTTCATAGTCTCAAGGATACACTATACCGAAATAACCGAGGTGACAGAAGAATACTCTTGATGCTTCAGCTTGAACCTCACAGAGTACTGGTTTGGAGGTCACTAACAGCTTTTAATTCCTAACAAGATGAGGTAATATAGGTGATGCTAAACTTTACTTTCTTGGGTCTTGACCAAACACCGCTACACGGAGGATTCAATACTCCATTTATAAACCTCAGCTAGCAGGATGTAACACCCACATGGTCGTTCCATAGACTACTTGCTCCAGACATGGAACTGTACGAAAACAACAAGAAGCGGGGTCCAAGAAATTACTCGGTTTATATAAGCTAGTCAAGCTCGTTACAAGTACATTGATTTATTGGATATTGGATACTGAATGTCTTTACATTCTCACCATGGTTTCCTGTGGCGAACAATCAAAATGGCATTGGCGATAATAAGTTTGAAACCTCCTCCAAACGTTGATCCAACGAAGGCCACTTTAGCCTACGGGAGGTTAGCCATAAAAAGAATTGTACGTTTCAATACACCAGATTCCTATTGGATAATTTTTTATTCCCATATCTATATGGACCAACCAAAACAATTCTTCTGTATTGCAAAATGGATTAGGTCTGAGGATGATGGGAGAGTAGATTATTAGGCTCCGTAAAGAACGTTTAAGTGTCTGGGGATTCATGGCAGTAATATAATTTGGGGACGAATCAATCAGATATGTTTTTACTATATATATATATATATATATATATATATATATATATATACACGCAAAAACGTTTTCGTCGTTGATTTGAACTGACTACCCTGTAGTTTGAAGCAAATTTGCGTTCCTTTTTCATTTACGCTTGTTAGAGGCGTTTGGATTTTCTCCTGGACACACTTAGATAATAAGCCTGGAACATTGAAAAACGCGTGCTTTTGGTTTTATTGGTTAATTCCTGTTAACTTGGTTCGTTTATATACATTTCAAAAATAACGTTGGTTTGTCTTGTATGATTTGGACGTTTGAGTTCACAAATACGTTTGTATTTTTCTATGCCATACCAGCCTTCAGTAATAAAGATAGGAAGTTATCGACCTATATTAATCCTTGCAGTTTGTAACACTGTGGAGGTCTAATCTTGTTATGAATATATAAACAGGTGCTGATATTATGTGCTCCGGTAGAGAATTCCGGTAATTCACTACTCGGTGAGGGAAATAAAACTCCAGACGTAAACGATTTGATCTCGGTTTTTGGACTTTCTTTAAATGTCCTCTCAAATGATCAGTCTCAGATGGAAGTAGAAGATAAGACATGTTAATACCAAGGTCATCGTTCAGTATACGATAAGCCAGTATTAGATCACACCGTATTCTACGGTAAGATAACGGAAATAAATTGAGGTGTCTCAGTTTGTCTTCATAAGATAGGCCAGATAGACCTTGTACCATCTTAGTACCTTCTCGTTGGACTCTTTCTAGTATATCTGTTTTATGCTTGAAACAAGGACTCGCTGCATGAAACCCATATTCCAAATGTGGTTGCACGTAAATTGGGTACAATAATCTAAACATTTCGTCATCTAAATACTGAAAAGACCTGCAAAGACACCCTAACACCCTATAGTCTTTTGCAACAGCAGCAGAAGCCTTACAATGATTAGTGATTTTGAGATAACTGCTTAATATTACTCCTAAATCTTTATAGTTTCTTACTTTGAGTAACACAAATCCACATATTGTGTAGTAATACGAATCATCATAGTTATTTACTTTCATCACTACACTCTTATCAGGATTTTCTTCTAGTGACCATCTGTCCAACCATGCCACCAATGAGCTAAGATCATCCTGTAATACTATTCTGTCCGACATACTGTGTATGGGTATCCAAATTTTCATGTCATCGGCGAAGAGTAGAAAGGATGACTTCGCTACAGTTGGCAATTCATTTACATAAAGTAAAAAAAGAGGACCGAGGTTTCTACCTTAGAGAAATCCACTTTTTACAGTTACCAACGAGGAGAGATCTCCATTAACCTTTACCCTTTGTCTCCTGTCATGGAGAAAGTTACTTATTCAATCTACCACTGTATAATGGATTCCAAAACGTTCCAGTTTGAATTTGAGACAAGTCAGTGTTTAGAATAGCTGCCTTTAAAAACACAGAGGTGGATAATCCTGAACTATTTGGAGCGACTGACTGCTTGATAGTCGAATTTTGTATTCATATTATCTTTGTTGACTTAGTCACGAACATTTTTAATCTCCAACTATTGAATCTGAGTGTTTTAATTGTTGTTTAAAAATTCACAAAACGTAAATCTCAGCTTGCAGACAAGTGATAAAATTGTAGAATAAAGTTCTGTTAAGGGCTGAATTGGGTTGTGATAGTTAAACCAGATGTTTCTTGAGACTCGTAACTAATGAAGAAGCGGAAAGTAAGCCTTTCCAAATCATGCGGAAGTATACAAGAACTTGTAAGTGCGCAGTATTGAACACAATCATTAGTATAGAAGTAGGATCAGTTTGATTTTTATAGGTTCAATTTATATGATGGACTAAGAATCAGAGCAGGGATAGGATCTAGTTTGTTAATTTTGATTCCGACCACGTAAAGAATTTTAGTTATCCAGCCTTCCCCCAGTTTTAATTTCTGCCAGAATCAAACATCTTTACCGCTGTTTATCATCGTTATAGGATTGATATTTATATTACCCCTAAGGTTGTGGAAAGGAATCCTCGAAATGTTCATTATAGGGTTAAATGAATTCAGCTGTAAAGTATGACATAACTTCACTCAGTTAATTAATTTTCATCTAATTTGAAAAATTCTGTCCTGATTTAATAAATTAATGCATAAGACTTACTTTTTACCAAGCAATATCCGTATGCACTGTTTGTTAGCAATTTAACTTTTATTAACATTTAAAAGAATAGAGAATTGAAAGATACGGATCTAATAACACGCCAACGCGCTGTTAAAGCCTTATGTGATTATTTGCACGATCCTGAGCATATTGAAGAAGCAATTAACGAAGGTAATACTGTTACTTTACTTTCTCATGAAACTACTTTATATAGGGACTATTTGTTCGTTGAGCTTTTTGCTAAAAGACCCCGACATACCTTGTAGGGGATATTCAACAGAATGTTTTGTAATTATCTGCCGTAGGTTGTGAAATAGTTTTCATCTTCAAAATAGAACACGCAATAGGTCGAACCGCTGCGTTGAGACATAATATTTTGGAGTCTTTTGAGCCTCTTCTAGATTTTAACCAACCTGATGTGATCAGACTAAATACGCACAGAGCTATCGAACTTTTAACTACGAATTTAACAGGTGTACAGGCAATCATTGAAGCAAAATACATTGACTTATTAGTGAGATGTGTTGAGAAAGAAGTGGATGAAATTAAGGTTAGTATATTTTAATAATGTTTATTCCTCTAAATCTAGATTGTTGTATTGAACACTTTATATCACTGCTTCAGTTTTGAAACCGAAGAAGGATTAAATGCCGGTGGGATACCACTGTTTACTAAACTTCTTACTCATTCAAACACAGAAATCAGAACACGTGCCGCTCAAAATATTTTGCGTTTATGGTAATTGCTTTGATATTTTCTGAAGTATGCTTTTTGATATCTCTAATAGATTTAAATTACTGCAGTTAAATTGTGTGTCAAGCACAGTACATATTTTTTTCATTAGAAGTTATTTGACAAAAAGTAATTATCGGTTTTCATCACATAGGATAACTTCACGTATAACAACCGATTATCTTATAGTTACATATTTCTGTAATTATCACGCGTCTTTTGATACCTTCATAGATCAGATATTTTGTGTGGTGACGCTCATTTGTTTTTGAATATTAAATCCAGTTGTATTTAGTATATACTATATATAAATATCACTCTGTTTTCCTAGCTGCTCCCAAATGCCTTGGTATGGCTGACAGTGGGGTGGGTCCGCCTTCCTTCTCGAAATGCTCTCACACGGCCACGCGTATACAGCCTCTGCCAGGGAAGTCCTACTCACTGCCTTCTCGCGGCAAGGGTGTTGTTTACGAAAATGAGAGGACGAGAAGCGAATGTTTGGCGCTATAACCAGATCCCAAACCAATGGTGCACATGTGCTCCAGTATCCTGCGGGAACAAATGGGGTATGAACCAATCGTTGGTCACCTGCTACCATGGGAACGCATCTCCTTACGATGCTCCATTGCCTTATGGATCAGACCTTTAGGTCAAAGGCTCGGGTTGTGGCCCCCTAAGAAAACCACCTGCTCCGGTCTGGGCACCCGGACAGTATCACAGCCCACACACATAAATATGGTGTGGCGCATATATATTTGGTGCCCTCTTGTACCAATATTTATGTGTTGAAATAAATAATAAATAAATAATAAACTGTTTTTCTAGCTGGAGGTTATAAGCTTGGCCTAATTTATTACTGCATAAAATTGCGGAATTAATTTACGTGCTTTTTTAACAAGTAGGGAATAGAATAATCCCATGGTTTCGTGTCATACAGCTGACTGCACTGTTTTGCGGAAGGATTTCATCAAACACTAACGAAATGAAAGTAAAATAATTGGTACAATAAACCTATCAAACTGTTGCTTTAACTAAAACAAGATAGGCGGTATAAACAAACTGCACTTTTGAAATATTTTAACTAATCAGTGAGAATTAACATCCCCAGTGAAATAATAAACACCAATTATATGCACATATTCATATTTAAGTCACAGCATTTAGAGGTGATCTTGACATTTTAAAATAAAAAAATTAGTGTAGTATTCAGAAACGCATATTCAGTGCAGTAAGTCATTTTGTGAAATAACCAGCACACTAGAAGGGAACGTATGCTTTAGTTTTATCGCTGACTTCCATTTAGCGTGATTATAAACGGATCTATTAAATCCATATGGATATTTCTTTGGGTAGTTTATATAAAACCATCTGAGGCCAGAGGATCAAATAAGTTTAAGGTTAACAACAAACTAGTTAAATATCAAAACTCCGCATGTGGCTTTTCTAGAGTTACTGCCGGTCCAAAGCCCGGGTAAAAGAGGAGGGTTGGGTCTACTCTCCCCTTTTCTTTTTATTCTGGTGATTTACTGGATTATCAAGACCCTCACAACTCAGGGGGACCACGGAATACAGTAGACGGCTTGGATGCAACTAGATGAATCGACCTTGCAGATGACTTGCCCTTCTATCTCATACACAGCAACAAATTTAGATCAAGACAACTAGTGTAACAGTAACCTTTGCGTCAGTAGACCTCAACAAGCACAAGGGAGAAAGCAAGAATCTCAAATACAACACCAAGAACACTAACGCAATCACACTTGATGGAGAAACTTTGGAAGAGATGGAAACATCCCCTCGCCTGGGTAGCATCATCAATGAACAACGAGGACCGGATACTAAAGTAAAGGTGAGGATTGGAAAGATAATGGCAGCATCACTACAGTCGAAGAACATATAGAACTCAAAACAACTGTCAACCAATATCAAAGTGAGAATCTTCAATACGAACATCAAGATAGTTATATTGTACGGAACTGAAACGCGGAGAACTACCACAACCATCATCAAAAGAGTACAAATATTTATAAACAATTGTCTACGTAAGAAAATGAATGTCCGTTGTCCGGATATCATCAGCAACAGCCTACTGTGGGAGAGAACAAACCAGCTTCCAGCTGAAGAGGAAATTAAGAAAAGGCACTGGAAGTATACAAGAAATAAATTTTGAAAATCACCAAACTGCTTCATAAAGCGAGCGCTAGCTTGGAATTCTGAAGGTTAACAGAAAATAGGAAGGCCAAAAAACACCCTACATCGAGAATTGGAAGCAGAAATGAAAAGGATGAATAGTAACTAAAAAAAACTGGAAAGGATAGAGTTGGGTGGAAAATGCCGGTGATTGGCCTATGCTCTTCCACGAGAGGTAACAGGCGTAAGTGATGTAAGTATTAAGCAGTTACCATAGGCTAGAAGGGGAGTACAACACTTTATGTGATTTGTTTTCTTCCTCAATTCGGTTTATTGATTTTCTCATGAATTTTATAAACAATTCTTAGGATGTTGCTGAAAGCATCACCTCATTCCAAGCATTTACCCAAGATATTATTGGAATTGATCTTATAACAGTCTCTTATGACACCAGTGACGAGCAAGAGTTGGTTTTCTTAGAATTATTTGATTCATATAAGACACTTTACATAAGTAAAATCTATTGAACTTAATTTTATATTACTACAGATAAACAGCACCAAATGTTTTATTTGAAGCGCTTATTATGTGATGAAATAGACAGTTTAGGAAAGGAAGGAAGTCTTTGAGTCATTTCGGAGATTTGTTCGAATTTCTATATTTGCTCGTGATTCCAGTTCATACTTTATTATTATTATTATTATTATTATTATTATTATTATTATTATTATTAATGGCTCTATTCAATATTATCTTTTTGCTATAATATAAAATTCTCAACATAAATTATTTCAACAAGCTTCCATTTCTTATTTCTTGATCGATCCTGATGATCACCAGTTAGATGTTAGTAGTTCAGGAATCAACATCTGAATAATGTTCACTTTTTTTTTCGCTGCCTATTACCAGCAACCACAATGTCTATGATTAGGACTTTTTGTAACTTGTACAGTGAAAGTTTGTAAACTTTTCAGAAACGCATGTGAATAGGTTATGCAATTAATAGGCATAAGGATGTGTTAAATTGGACAAAAAAACCAGATAGCTTGTTGAAATATCTAAATGACAGCAAACAGATAGCCCAATCATTCAGGTCGTCAATAATATATCAAAAATGGTTATAGTATAGATAGATTGATAAGTATTCACAAATAACGAGATATATCATAAAACAACTATATTCCGTCAAATGTATGTTGAATTTGATGCAGAAATATCAAAGTATCAGTAAAGGGTTTGTGGAGGTTGTTAAATATTATTGAGATCAGATACCAACCTAAGTTAAACAAACATTGAAATCCGTTCGATTATTGGACCTCAGTAGTGAATATTCACAATCCCACTGCCAGGAATCGAACCCGGAATCTTTAGACTGATGGTCATGGTTTCTTACTAAAACTCTGAGAATTTCGTTTCAGAACTACCCATCAGTTAGCACATAATAATTACCAGTATAGAGGTTTGTAGACACACAGTGGTGGGGCTTTGGACACGCAATACTAAGGAGTATCATACGTAGACAAAAAATCTGCCTTGTGCTATCAGCTTTTAAAGGATTGCTTAATTTAGATTGGTCCGTGACTTCAATGATTGTAAGAAACTGTACATTGAACAATTACTTTTCAGAAGGGGTTTTGCGGAGATTTTAGAAATTTCGCTAGTTGAAATCATGAATCAATTGAAGCTAAACCACTATGGAAAAACTGGAAGCATTGGACGACCGTTTCGTTCTAGTATGGGTCCGAATGTCGCGCGGGCGGGATCGTGGATGCGCACTGCTGAGGAGTTCTATACTGGGGCGAAACGGCCGTCCAGTGCTTCCCCGCTTTTCACATGGTGGTATAGCTTCAATTGACTCATGATTTCAACTAGCGTAATTACTTTTCCTTAATATTTTAATATTGGAACCTAATCATCTTTACAAATACAGTAATTATTAAATAATAACTGTTAACAAATTGTCATTATTTGTATGGAGCAATCTGTTGTGCAAGATTTCATATTGATGTAAACATATAAACAAAACCACATCAATTGCAAAAGTAAGAATTTTTCATTTATGAATATACTACTGATTTATTTAAATGAGTAGACCAGTGAAGCTAATCCGTGTCGAGTAGAAACAAAGTCTACCTCAGTACGATAGAAGATAGTCGCGCAACTTCGTGGATTGGTTGAGGTCAGACATTAACACCATTGGATGCCGGCTCAGTGGTCCAGTAGGTTAAGCATTCACGCGTGAGACCGTAGACCCTGGGTTGGAATCCCGCGAGCGGGATCGTGGATGCGCACTGCTCAGGAGTCCCACAATAGGACGGAACGGCCATCCAGAGGTTCCAGGTTTTCAATGGTAGTCTAACATCAATCGGTTCATGATCTCAATAAAAAACTTGACAATCTCCACAACCCCTAAGCTGAGAAAGAATATTGTTTGAAATGTAATTTGAATTCATTCTAATAGTAATACTTAAGAAAATGTTGTTAATGCATAACATATATATAAATATATATATTAATAGAGTTTTGCTCTGTGAGCTGGATGGTTTGGTTGTAGAGCTTTCATCGTTCTTCCGAACAAAACTCCATTAAAGTCATTAACGTGAGCTAAAAATCTTCACTATCTCAATATATATATATTTCTTTTTTCATTTAAATCATAGTGTAAATCTAAGAGGTAAACAAGAAGCTTTGGATAATGAAACAATTCCTGCACTAGTTTCTCTATTAAATGATCCAAGTGAAGATTTGAAAGCATTTTCTACTGGAGCATTGGGTTTGTAAGTCATAATTGTTATCATTTGTAAATGAATATTGAAGTGAGACTATAATTTATGGATAATAGATTTGGAATTATGGTGCAAAATTAATTCATCCAATTGGATAAATAGAGTTTTAGTATTAAAGCTGATATCAGTTCGTTATGAAAACCCTATATCTGATTCCTAACCTTAAACACCAGCTGTAAATCATAATTCTAATTCCCCACACAGGTTTATAACAATAATTTGGTCGTGGTTATTAGGCGGACACTGTCAAGGTCAGTCTAGCGTCGCTCAAAGGTCGTTCATAAATTATAGTCTGACCAATATTAATTGTAATTCAAGTTAACCAATTCATTTTGATTACAGAGGTATTTATTTTGAGGACTTATTTACCGCTACAAATCACTCCTTCCCCTAGTGGGTAGTGATAATCCTAAGACGTGGCCAGCCAAAAGTTTAAACCCAACGTGTTTGTCGTTGGTAAACACTCTTCTGATAGCTTGCTAGGTTTAACAGTGTCTGGTCGTCTTTCCTTACTATAAGAGACCATGTAGTACGATATAGTAATAAAAAAGGTACAATGAAATTTTCAGTTCATCGTAAACTTCATCGTTCTTTTTATCGCTTTTTCCAGCTGTCCTGGAAAAGAAAAAAAGAATATGTAAGTGCATGTCGAAATACACTCGTACGTATGTAAAAATACAAAGTCGGCGAAGAAAGGCAAATAAACTCATGTACACGTAATAGCGTAGAAACGCTTTTTACAAAATGGTTCTTTTTGGAATAAATATATAAATATATAAGCATATTAAAATTTTTTTTCATATTACATGTAGTACAAAGAGAAATCGAGATGATATAAAGTGTCAACTTGTATCTTACGTGCAATAATCGTTCAAATGTTCTGGAAATCTTACTGTTCTTCCAGAACGTGTTGTTCTAAGTTGATTTTCTAATACTGCCAAAGTATCATCGTGCGTGTTAGCTATCGAATAAAGTATTATAAGTGTAAGAACCGTGTCGTTCGATTGTACCGAAGGAAAATCGATGTGGATAGGATTTCCTTCTAAATACGCTGCTTTGGGGCGATAGATGCTGATGCTATCGTTGGTTCCGTTCTTATCGATTATATAGTACTTGGGTTCGCGTTGAACAACTTTTAAGGGTCCTTCTTATGCTGATTCGAAAGGTCGTCGATGCAAGTCTCGACGTACGAAGACTTGTGTACTATATCGTAAGTCAGGTTGAACGAAAACATCAATTGATTACGGTCGAGTGGAAACAGGTTTAACTGAACGCATTGCGTTTGTAAGCCTGTTCGTGTAGGAGGTTAGCTCCATGTTCATTGAAGAAGGTGAAGGATCTACGAATTCTTTGGAAGTCAAAGTGTCGTTCCATAAACCAGTTGAGCCGCAGTGTATCCAATGTCAGCTTTCACTGCATTGCAGCTACCTAGTAAGACGAGTGAAAGAGCGTCATTCCACTGAGAAATGTTTGCAGCTGATAGTGAAGCTTTTAGTTGTCGGTGAAAGCCTTCTGCCAATCCGTTTACTTGTGGGTGGTAGGCGGTCGTTCGGAATCATGTGATTCTTAATAGTGTGGTCAGACAACGGAAAAGTCCAGATTCGAACTGGCGTCCGCGATCTGTAATGGTGGTTGAAGGGTAGCCGAAGTTTTCTACCCATCGTTCGAAGAAGGCGCGGGCCACTGTTTCAGCAGGGATTTCCTTGCTAGGTACTGCTTCTGGCCATCGAGTGAAACAGTCTACTCATTTAATTGAATAACTAAACAAAAAGACGTATCATTAACTTTCACTTTCTAAACAGTTTTACCGCCTTGTTTGTATGATTAAATGACAAAAAAGTGTAAGAGTGTATACTAAGATTTATTGAAGCCTTGGTCATACGAAAATTTAAACACCCTCCACTCTTATTGGATCATTTGATTCTATTTGTTTCTGCAACCATTTAGGTACATGTTCACTCCCCCTAATTTTCAGATCATGATTCCTCCTCCCTGTTTATATATGACCTGATAATATTAGCTTATTATCCAGAGTGATAAGGTTTCAAATTGTTTTCACATTATTTTCTTCACTATCCTTGTCTCCCACTTACCCTCCATTTCTGGTCTAGTTGACTTCTTTAACAAGTATATTATGAATGATAAGGTTGTTCGAAATGTATTGCGCTAATGTATCGTCACATAGTTCAGATAATCTTCGTCTTTTCATTACACCTTCGAAATTCATCAAAGGAGCTAATTGCTTTAAATGTAATGATTATAACTGTAATGACTGAGAACTCAAATGGGAAGACTAGTTTGTTATATTCATTTGGTATTGTTTGTTTAAATCTTCCCACTGACGTTTAGGACTGTAATTGATCAGTCTCCTATTGGCATACTATGCGTATTGCCTCGACATTGCCTTAATTCACAAGCATTACAAGTAAATATGTATAGTGGCTAGCAATTGAATCCAGGACGCGCGTTTCATGGATAAGGCGAGAGCGTTTGGAGCGAACAGTACTGGGTTCGAGTCCTAGAGTGAACATCAACTCTGAGATGAAGGTACATCCACCTGACGAGTCCCAAATAGGACAAAACGTATGTCCTGGATTCCAGTGCTAGCCACTATCCATCTTTGCATATAAGACTAATTTATTGTTTAGCGCAAAATTACAGAATCTCTTCATAAAATATGAAAACCATACATGAAATACTTCATTTGCATATAGTCCATCAAATTCTCTCTTATAAACTTTATAGTTCCTTCATTCTCCTGTTATTATTACAATTACTCTTTGTTTACACTCTTATTCTTTGCAACGTAATCTTCTTAATCTTCTATTGCTAGTCACTTCATTTCTGATTGATATCATATACTACTTATATCTGACAACATAAGTAGCTGACACTACCATCAATTATTATGTCATATTATAGGAAATTAACATAGAATAGATAAAATCCTCCAGTTTTTGATAATAACATCAACAATAAACGTACAATTGATAGATTGTATTTTCTTTTTTTTCCTTCTTTTTAAAATCTTATTTCTCAAGTATATGTACAACAAATCATGGTCGTTATACTACTTTAAATGCTGGTGCTATTCCTTTACTTCTTAATCTGATTGATGATAAATGTAGTCGAGTAAGAGTTAATACTTTCAAGGTAAGAATTATTATTCATTTATTTTAGATGAAATTTAATGATTATTAATTGCTATTGATGATTGATTTTAGAGATTCAGGCTTTCCTCTAAGATAATCAATCAATAAAGTTTATATTTGAAGGGCTTTTATGGATATTATAGTAATTTTAATAGTTAAGATCATGAGTTAGCTTAAGCTAGATCATCATGGAAAATCGTGAATCACTAGAGGACCGATCCGTCCCATTATGGGACTCCTCAGCATTGCACATCCACGACCTCGCCCTCTGCGAGATTCGAACCCAGGACTTACTGGTTTCGCGCGCGAGCACTTTACCACTAGACCACTGAGTCAGCATCCAACGGTGCTAATGTCTAACTTCAACTAATCCACGAAATGGATCGACACATCTACAATTGTCTTCAGTGAGTTACTATCTCACAACAGACCTGTTTGAACTCCACTGGTCACTACTTCTCACTAGAACTCCAGGGTTCGGATCTCGCGGGGGGAGAGGTTGTGGATGCGCGCTGCTGAGGAGTCCCATAATAGGACGAAACGGCCGTCCAATGCCTCCAGGTTTTCCATAGTGGTCTAGTTTCAACTGACTCATGATTTTAACCATTGAAATCAATATAATATCCACAAAGCTTATCTGATATTAATTCATAAATTGCCTAAATTAATCTGATATATTCCATATATTTACACAAATAATATTGTTCATTTATGTATATATAACTCTATACTAACATAATAAATATATTGCTTTGTTATCTCCTAATAAGTAGAAAAATTGTATTCCTGATGTTTCATCACTTGATGTGTCACTTCTTCAGAGTAAACTTTCTACCCAGTGCTCAATTTATTTGAGACTTTAGATCAACATCATCATTGAAAACTTGGGAACATTGAACGGCCGTTTCGTCCTAGCACGGGACTTCTTGGCAATGCGCACATGGGACTCGAACCCGAGATCTTCGGTTTCGCTCTCGAACGGTTAACCTCTAGACCACTGAGTCGGCCGGCATCCAACGGTGTTAATCTCCAGCTTCAATCAATCCATGATGTTGCGTAACTGTTCTCCATTGTCTTCAGTGAGTAAATACCTCACAACAGACACGGTTGAACTCTGTTGATCACAGCTTCTCACTAGAATTCCAGGAAATCTATCTTGAAGCTAGTCAATAGTGAGCACATGATAATTATCAGTATAGGGTTGTGGAGATTGTTGAGTTTAGATTAGCGTCCTATACTGATAACTATTTGAAACTATCGAGAAAAACCTTGACACTGATACCTATCAACTTATTAACAATCTATACTAACATGTTTGAGATAGTGATTCTTAAACTAATTACAGTATTCATTTAATTTCTTATTCATAAAAAGAGGGAACAACCAAATAATGACACCATCCCTAAATCAAACAATAACGAATCAGAAAAAAAGTCAATCATACGAAGCAATAAGAGATAGAGCTTAAATTTAACTTAACTCCTTCACAATGATATGTAATAGTTGAGCGGAATGACAATTTCACTAATCTTGAAATCTTCATTATCCCTATTGGGTTAATATTTGATGGTCTCAGTTTAGAAAGTATACTTTACTTTTGTCGAATCAAGTCTTGTTTGATGTATAGAAGATGTCTTTCTGTTTGTTTTTAAGGTTGATAAATAAAGAATGTTTTTGGATTCATTTTTGTATTCGTTGTTTGAATCTTCCCATTGATCAGTAACTTATTGGTATATATGCAACTTGTACAAATTGCCTTGATATTGTCAAGTAATCTAAGTCGAGATAGATAGTGGCTAGCAGTGGAATCCATGAAGCACGTTTCTTCCTATTCGGTACTCGTCGGTTGGATGTACCTGAGTCCCAGAGTTGACGTTCACTCTAGGACTCGAATCCAGCACTGTTCACTTCAAACGCCATTGCATTATCCATTTAGCTACTTGGTCCAAGTAGCCACTAGCTTGTGCAGTGGGGTATTTGATCATATATTGCCTTGGAACATTATTCGCAAGTCAATGACCAATATTAAGGTTCAACCTAGGCTACCAGATAAAAATTTTTGAGTGGTTGATGAGGTCACCAATCTAGTGGGTCGAAATTAAAGTATTATTCACTGTTCATTATTTCATTTCAGTATTTTGTTTTCAGTGATTCAAAATGAATATCAGTTCCTTTAAATAACACTCTTTATCATAGATCTTGCTGAATATCGTTCGTATCTTTTCTGACAGTTATTCTATTTCCAATCCAATATAAATCTAGTTTTACATTATTAATTAAAGCTAACTAACTTAACAGCAAAATCACACATAAAAGATGTTTTGATGATCCTGGATCCATGAGATTTCCATCCTATAAGTGTTTCATATGTGTTATAACTTGTGACTTATCTATCGGATCAATGACACGTAAAACACGTGCGAACAGTCTATAGTCTGATTGGCCCTGCTTTCCGCCTAGCCCAGTCAGTTATGTCCAGAACGCCAGTTCCAGCCTCTGCAATATGAATCATTGTATTTCAAGCATACTCTGTTTATATACCAATCAAGTAGACCACAACATACCAATAAAATATGAAACAACATTTGTACAAGAATTAGCCAGATGTGGCTGCGAATGAGGGAGGTAGTATTTAGTATACTGGGTATAACTCAAGAATGGTAAGACGTATAATAGTAGTTTATGGATCAAAATAAAGCTTGTAATAAGAGGAATATGAATAGCTTAGTTACTTAATAATTATGCAATAGAAATATACGTTTAGTATTGGTCCATAAAAAGGATTCCAAAGTTACCATTCATTATGTTTCTCAGAACCTAGCAATATGCTTCTTTAAACAGCATCACAGCAACTTCCTGAGTGTGTGGAGCATTTTCTTCTTCGTGACCAGAATACAGTAAAATCAAACTGTTTATTTCAAAGTATTTTTTTGTTTACTTCAAATCTTTATTTAACCTATAGTTGTGATAGAAATGAATATTTATATAGTTGATTCTTGATAGAAGTGAATTTCCCTACGCATTCCACTTCAACATTCTAGGGTTGACAATTTTATTCATTCATTTTAGGTTCTAACTTGTTTATCTGAGACACCTGAGGGTCGAAGGATTCTGTTGGATCATTTAAATAAAGTATGTTTCATATTTTGTTTTTTGTTTTTCGAACATAAAATTGTCATTCTATCATTATGTGAATGTTTATTTCCGTTAGGATTAATGATTGTGATATTTCAGAAGGAGTTTTGTGAATATTATAGTAATTTTAATAGTTAAGATCATGAGTCAATTGAAGAGAGACCATAATGGAAAACCTAGAAGCACTGGATATCCGTTTCATCTCAGTATGGGACTCCTCAGTAATGCACATCCATTCGAACTTAGTACCTATCAGTCTCATGCGGGAGCGCTGAACCTATAGACCACCAAGCCGGCCGGCATTCAATGGTGTTAATGTCTTACTTCAATCAACCCACGAAATCGCGCAACTGTCCACCATTGTATTCAGTGGGCAACTGCCTCATTTGTTTTAAGCTTCAAGTTTTTAATGTTACATTATCGGGTAAAACAGCCGTGTAGACTATATTTGGGTTTCATTTTAGTTGCGACACATCGGTAAAACGCACGCAAAATATTCAGAAGACTAGTTCTCATCATGAGGTTTGGATTTACGTCGTCCATAGTGATATTCAGTGGTGTTAACATTAACTTCAATTCAAAACCGTTGAAACAAGCCTTCACACCTATCTCGTATGGTACGCATTCTATGCAGTCAGGTTTATAAACTTGTCAGAGATTATCAATTGTTCTTAACAGTTACCGTTTCTTCTGAAAATAATTGAGTACAACATTTGAAAACATTTTCAACTATTGATACTGCTCACGAGTTACATTCGTTACTGATTAATTTCGTATGGAGTATCGTTAACAATCACTGAGTAGTGGATAGATGATTTGTTTTGGTTTGAGGCTGCTTGAAATCACTTCCCAAATACTCTGTGAGGGACCGACTTAATGACTTTTAGGTCTCGCAGAGAACTACTGGCCATTAAAACCAATAGATCATCATCCAATGATGTAATTTCAACTTTATTCAGTTTGTGTGTTATAGCGATACTGTGGTGTATGCTGCTTATGCTGACAGATCTAAGTAGTATGTGGGAGAAATCAGAAGTAGAATATCTGTCACCAAAAGACTGAATTAAAGAGACCAGGAAGGGAAACGGAGAGCAGTTGAGGTAACAATAGAGTTAGAAGAATGATAAGTTATGTAAAAGACAATTGGTGACAGATGTGTAAATAATGAATGTAATGTATGATTTTCATATTTGATGGAAACAATAAATTGGTTTTCCCCAGGGTTGGATGGAGAATGCTGGTGAGCGGCCTATCCTCCTCCACAAGGAGTAACAGGCATAATTAAGTAAGTAAGTAAGTTTATGTTCATTACATTTAGTGCAGTCTTGAGGACACCGTTGTGAGGGGCCTATATCCGTCAGTATAAGCAGTATACACCACATTACGATCATCTAACTGTTTCATTTCAATCTGGTCTGCATGCTATTCATAAACTGAATGAAGCTGAAATTATTCAGTCAGAAGCTCATTTAGTGGTTCTATTAGTTAAACATTCACTGTAAGACCCTATAGTCATTGATTGGCATTTTTGATCATTGTCATACTGAATAAATATCCACAACTCTGTGATTTCCAATGGTATCTCCAACTGAAATGAATCAGTAACAAATAAAAACTAATTTCCACAAAACTCTTTAAAATAATCATTTCATTCTAGTTCTATTTTTTTGTTTTGTTTTCAGATATCACCACATGTAACTGATATGAATGCTGCTGTAGCGAAACATGCAAAAATAGCTTTATCTGTTATCACTTGGCAACCTTAATTCTCCTTCCACACCACCCCACCCCACCCCCGAAAAAACTATAGTTAATAAGACGCAATGAAAAAAAACAACAAAAAGACAAACGGAATGTTTACATATACTTTCATAATATTTCGTTTATCCTATAGTGAGATCTCCCTTATAGGGTAATACAGTTCTAATGAGAGTAAAATACCGCCTAATATATTTCTTCATTAATGTATGCATCAGATTATCTATAATAATATAATTCATTTTATGTGATATAATGAGATTATTATTATTATCATTATCATCATCAGAAAGAGGGTTTGTGGAGATTATAGTGATTTAATAGTTGAGATCATGAATCAATTAAAGATAGATCACCATGGAAAACCTGAAACGATTGAACGGTTGTTTCGTCCCAGTATGGGACTCTTCAGCAATACGCATTCACGATAAGATTATTTAAAATCTGAGTATTTATCAAATTATTATTGTTTACTTGAAAAATTGAACAGTGATTTCATTAAATGTTGGCAGCAGTTAAGATAACGTAGTTTGTTTTTCTTTTAAAAAAAGTCTATTTTAAAGTGGTCATTATTGAAGAATGATCAAGTATTCTCATTCGCAATAAAAAAAGTACATACAAGAGATTAGGTACTTTGAGAATATTCAAACATTACAATATGAAGACTGAAGTATTCATAAGTTATGATATAATCACTAGTTAGCTTGATTTTAACCCGCTTTAATTGTATCTAACTTCATTCATTCACATTTTGATAAGTCTTGCTAATTGAACGTTAGATTCGATTTACAAGCTCTTCTAGTAACCCCTACGCTAAATCCGCACAGTGACTTGGACATGAAAGAAAAGGTGCAAGCATTTTACTCCAAAGCTCCCATTTAGTACAGAAAATCTAGGGTTTCAATAGTATTTTAAATGTCCTTGGGTTTCTTCAAAATTCTGGAATGCTACTAAACATAATGGCAGTATGAGTAATCATTCAATCAGAAACTCGACATGTGACTTTTCACCTTTTTGATGCTTGCGACTAAACTTCAAGTGAACACTGATTGGACAAAATGCTTTATAGTGTTTCTTGAGCCTTTCTTGTCTTTTGTATGAAGTTTTCTGGATCACCTCCTACGGTATCATCAATCGAAAGTGAAATACCTGGTAGCAGAATGTTAAGATGATCAAACAAAAGAGAACGAGTGCAGAGAGTGATTGGTGTAGGAACAAAAGAACAATAAAGTCTGAGATGATTGATTAACATTTTGCAAATGTATATATAGAACTTTAGCCAACCTCACCTTCATCTATCGATTGTCCATCGGTTTCGATCTAGGTTTGTTTTGAAATACAGAATCTATCAAACTGTACAGCTGAATTCATAAGTCAATTGAAGCCAAACCACCATGGAAAACGTTGAAGCACTGGACGACCATTTCGTCCTAGTATGGGACTCCTCAGCAGTGCGCATACACCGTTGGGGTGATCCAGAAAGACAAGAAAGGCCCAAGAAGCACTATATAGCATTTTATCCAATCAGTATTCACTTGAAATCCAGCTAGAAACATCAAGAAAGTGAAAAGTCACATGTTGAGTTTTTGATTGGATGATTACTCATGCTGTTATTGTGTTTAGTAGCATTCCAGAATTTTCGGGAAATTTAAGGACATCTAAAATACTATAGAAACCCTAGATTTTCTGTACAGAATGGGAGCTTTGGACTGAAGTGCTTCTCTCATATTTTGTACCTTTTCTCTCATGTTCAGTTCGTTGTGTAGTTCTAGCTTTGCGGTTACTAGAGTAGCTTAGAAATCGAATCTAGCATCCAATTAACAAGAATTATCATACACGATCCCGCCCCGCAAGATTCGAACCCATGACCTATCAGTTTCCCACACGAGCGCTTAACCTTCAAACCACTGATCTGGCCTACATCCAACAATGTTGATGTTTAATTTCAACCAATCTATCAAACTGATTAATATTTTTCTCTATGAAAAGAAAACTAGATAACAAAATCTTATTCCGATATATACATTAATATAAAAATGAACAATGGAGTAGATTATGAAATGGCAAAAAGAAAAATAATCGAGAGAAAAACAACAACAACAACATCATTGAAACAATCACAACTAAACAAAAGTAAAAACAACAACAAAAAACGTTACGCAATAATGATTACAGTATATATTGATTGAAATCAATATAGAATTAAACTATTACATCATAGCAACCAACATATAATATATATATCTATAAACAGATATATGAAGTACCTTGTACAAGATAATTACCATGACTATTATTCATTCATTCATTCATTGAATGTTATATGGATTACAACAAGAATATATTAATTATCATTGGTTTTACTAGTTAACTTTTGAACAGTATTTGCAAAATGTCGAGCAAGATTTAAAATATCATCAACATTATGATGTTCAGCACGTTCTGTGTAAAATAGAAAAAGAAAATACACATTTAGAAATGAGATGTAATGAATGATCTATGATCTATATTTGTGATCGTCAAATTCTGGAAAACTATAACATAATCAATATATTTTGATTGAGATCATGAACCGATTGATGTTAGACCACCATTGAAAACCTAGAAGCACTGGATGTCTGATTCGTCCTATTTTGGGACTCCTCAGCAGTGCGAACCCACGGGATTCGAACCCATGTGCTCATCAGTGGCTAGATTCGTGAGAAAATTCTCGGAGTTCTAGTGAGAAACCGTGACCAGTGAAGCAAATCCGTGTCGGGTAGAAACAGGTGTCTACCTCAGTACAATGGAAGATGGTCGAGCAACTTCGTCGATTGGTTAAGGTTAGACATTAACACCATTGGATGCCGACTCAGTGGTCTAGTAGGTTGAGTGTTTGTGCGCAAGACTGAAGGCCCTATACTGATATTCAATATGGTTGCATTGTAATGGTCAGGATTTCAATGTAGAAACCGTGGAATTGTTTTTAAAAAAATTAGTTATTGGTAAGTAAATGATATTTAAAATTATACTGATTATTTCTAAAGTAATAAACAGTTTTCTTTTTAAATAGTTGAGATCATGAGTCAATTGAAAACAGAACATCATGGAAAACCTGGAAGCACTGGATGACCGTTTCGTCCTACTGTGGACCTCTTCAGCTGTACGTATCCAAGATCTCGCTTGTGGGATTTGAACACAAAACCTATCAGTCTCACACGTGAGCGCTAAACTTCTAGACTACTGATCTGGCCGACGTCCAACGGTGTTAATATCTAACTTCAACCAATCCGTGAAACTGAGAATTACATCCAGTATTGTCTTGAGTGAGTTACTATCTCACAATAGACCCGGTTGAACTCCACTGGTCATCCAATGTTACCAAATTTTCAATGATAATCTACTTTAAATTGATTCATGAATTCCACAATCCCTCGTCCACCCCACCCCCACACAACATTGTGAATTAAATATATATTCATTAGTTGATAAGAGATCATGAAAATGATCTCCCTCCCCCCCAACTCATTCTGATATCTTATTTATCCAAGAAAAGAAAAAAAAGGAAAAAAAATGTTCTCATTTTCTTTTAAACTTTTACTTACTTACCATTAAAAAATTTTAGAATATCAGTTAATTCCATATGATTTGAACAGATCACATTTCTATAATATTGAATTAATGCTAAAGCAATAAATAAACTAAAATCTTTAGAGATTATATGTTCAGCGCATAAAATAACTTCCCATATTTGAAAAATATCTTGATAATTAAATTCTTAAAAGAAAAAAGAAAAAAAATAGAGAAATTCATTATTAAAAGGGGTTTTGTGGAGATTTTCTTTAGAAATTTCAAGGGTTGAAATCATGAGTCAATTGAAGCTAGATCACCATGGAAAACCTGGTAGCACTAGATGACTGTTTCGTCCTAGTATGAGAATCATCAGCAGTGCGCATCTACAATCTTGCCTCCTGTGAGATTCAAACCCAGGAACGTGAACGCTTAACCATTAGACCACTGAGCCGGCCGGCATCCAAAGGTGTTAATGTCTAACTTTAATGCATTAGTTAATGTCGAGTCATCTAGATTAGTGACCTTATTATAACTTGATCGATAGTATTTCATTTGTATTACGAAGGATTTAATATACATTGATCACTATCCAATGATCGATCAATTGTGGATTAGTGCTTGAAGTCACTAACTTCCAGTCTGAGCCATGTTGGTCTTCTCTTAAACTATGAGATTAAAATCGCTTCATATCTTTCTTTCTACAAACCAGTTCTTTCTTCCGGAAATATATCCTTATATGCAATCTTTCTTGTATACATTACCACCTCTGAATTAACTACTTCTATGAATTCGGTGTCCATCTTGTTGTGTTAATGAGGTATGTCAATTTGGACTGACGCATATATGTGCCTGATCCTATGTTGTAGCTGACTAATTGACTGAGTTGGTAAATGTTTTGAGAACGGTTTAGCAACAGAAAATATTTTACAAATTAAATCAATAATCACCATGGTGATAAAATGTATCAAAATAATTCAGAAAGGCTTTTTTTAATTTGAAAAGATAAGCAAGTAGTCGATGTGTTTTGATATAATGTTAAATCACTTTACTTTTAATATGGAAAAAAGGCTTGAATATTCATTTAACCTGTATTGTTTTTACAGGCAACCACATTCATGAATTGGTTGAAATTAGACACTAACACTGTTGGGTGACAGCATAATGGTTTAGAGATTAGGATTTCACGCGCGAGCCCTTAAGTCCTAGGTTCGAATCCCGTGGATTGTGAATACGCGTTACTGAATAGTTTCATACTGGAACAAAAAAGCTTTCTAGTGCCTACAAGGTTTCCATGGTAGTTTAGCATTAATCAACTTATGAATTCAACTATTAAACCACATTTGACTTTAGTTTTATTATTTTCACACACACACACACACACACGGACACACAACCTCACCATCTTCATATCACATATGAGTGCACTTTTCTTACTCACAATTTGACGCACAAATTAATACAGTGACAGATCATACAAAGTCACTTTGATCAAGAATAACTTAACATTGACATATTTTAATCAATTATGATTTAGATTATACTAAAACTATTTTGAATTGTTTCTTTTGTACTATATCAATTTGTATTAATTGAATATTCGGTTATTCTGAAGAAGTTACTTATATTGAGTCACGAAACATCTATTCATTAGGATATAAAATTTATTATTAACTCTCTACTTAATCAAGTTTAACCTTGG